CCTCATTGAATATATTTTCTCAGTACACTCTATGAAACTCGTGGTTCTCTTCGATGAATCAAGTTCTGATGAGCATGAATTATCACAAGATATTCTTGCAATCAACACCATCTTTATCTGTCGAATACAGGGAAAAAGAGCAGCTAAATACCAAAGCGAACGAAAACTAATGAAAAATAAAAACAATAAAAACACGAAGCAAAAAAAAATGAAAAATCAAAACTACTGTGAATCTAATGTTATCAATCAAAACATATCCGAATCATTCTCAAAAAAAGATATTGAAGAAATGGCTAGATTTGATGAGATACGCTTATAATACTGTTGTTAGATGGAACAAAAATCGGCATTTTTGTAATAGTTCTAAAAATTTTGAATGGATAAAACCTCATACACTCAATGAAAAACTTAAATTATACATAGATATAAAAGAAGGAAAAGATTTTAATAAAAAAGATAAAAAATTACAGAGATCATGTGTATGGAGAGAACGCAAATTTCTTTGAACAGTTGTATGGTTAAAATTACGTGTTAAAGGTTTACATGATAAAGTACCTGCAAATATAATTGATGAAAGTATTGATGAAGCTTTGATAGCTAGAAAAAATATAATACAAAAAAATTTAAAAGAAACTAAAAAATCATCATTATCATTTAAATCTAAGAAAGATTTACAACAGACAATGACTGTTCATGCACAAAACTTTTTAAAGAAAGATTGGAAACATTTTTACATTACATATCTTCATAATTCTTTGACTTTATCATCAAAACGATGCAAACCCAATGAATTACAGAACAGAAAATGTTACTTACGTCTGTTTCATTTTGAAAAAAGGAAAAAGCATAATAAATGGCTATCACAAAAGATAGATTGTGATTGTAAACTTATGTATATACGTAAAACAAACGAATGGATATTTTATTGAGTATACGAAGTACAGAAACAGATCCGTGAAACACAAGCGAATGTTCATGTAGTTTCAATTGATCTGGGAGTTCGTACTCCATTCACATGGTATTCTTCAACAAAAGGTGTGGGAAAGATAGGAGAATATGATATAGGACATATTTTTCATTTATGTAAACATATGGATGATCTAATATCAAAAAAAAACAGATTAGCATCTTCAATCTCAAAACAAAAGAAAAAGAAAGCATTGCGTGTTAACAAAGCCATCTTTCATATGCAATGAAAGATCAAACGGCTGCAGGATGAAATCTATCAAAAAACAATCAAGTTCTTAACAGATGAATTTGACATAATTGTTATTTCTCCTTTTAAAGTTTCAGACATGGTGAACAGGAAAACACAAAAGATAATATGGAAAACAGTTAGAAAGATGCTTTACTGGTCTTATTACAAGTTTCGACAATGATTGATTTCAAAAGCAAAAGAGAAAGGAATTTATGTGATAATTCAAAACGAGGCTTACACGTCAAAGACATGTAGTTGGTACGGAAACATTCAGAATATTGGAAGATCAGAAACATACAAATGCAAAAATTGCAATATAAAAATAGATAGAGATATTAATAGCACCTGAGGGATATTTCTTTGGGCTTTGCTTGATAGAGCCATGACCTTGTCATAAGACATCTTCATGCAGGAAATAGTAACTTTACTTAGTAATACATAGTATTGATTATTATTGATGTGTTACAATCCATCTAATGTTAGAAATCCAATCAGATTATGCTGTCAATTTAGTCCAGGATTTAGTATCTACTCGTTAGAATGATTTATAATTATTAGGCAAAGATAGTTATAAGGCCAAAATTATTAAATAATTAAAAGCAAGAATTTTTCGCCAACAAATTTATTGTAATTATAAATCTACTTAAAGGTTAATAATGCTAAAAATTGGGGTTTTACATTCAAAAATTATGGTATTATAAATGTAATAACGAATTATATATTTTATTTTTATTCAACTTAAATACATTAGCTATCTTTACGTTGAAAAAATTTTTTTGGATTAACACGGGAAATTTATGCGATCTAATGTGATGCAATTTAAGTTCAGTTACTATTTTTTTCAAAAAAAAAACTAACTGTTAACTATAGTTTTGGAGTATAATTTATATTAACTATTAGTTTATGAATATCACGGTGACTGGCATTATTCAGAAATGTTGATCACGAGACCTTATTTCTGCCAACGTTATAAGATTCATAAATTTTGATCTGACACAGTAATATGAGAATTCGTAGCATGGGATCAGAATCAGGTTTGTGTAATAGTAATTTATGCGATGCATGAATCGCGTGATCGATAGGAGTGGTGAGATAAATCATTTAATAGAAATTGTATAATTCAAAAGAAATAATCTCTTAGTCAATTTCCATTATCCCTATATTTCGAATTTCGAGTATCACAAACAAAACAAACCAAAATTTACACGATTTCAATCAAAAAGATTGATGGGTTAATAATTTTTATTTCAAACATATTTTTTACTTTAAATTCGCATGCTGTTTGATATCAATGTTTCTACAAAAAGCTGTGAAACATCTAAATCTTTTATCTAATTTTTCACTAATTTTTTACAAAAACAATACATTGAAAATGAATAAATAATACCAAAAATGTAAATTAAATTTTATATTGAATTGTTTAAAAGAGGCTTAACTAAATATAGTGACTCAATTAGCCTATTTGAATAATTTAAAACTTGCCGTCAAATACATGCTAACCAATCCACAAAATTTTTTAAAACTTTAAACTCAATTCATTCTCCGATAGCTCATTGATACCGTAGGAGAATGTACTTATAATTTGTATTGATTAAATTACATCAATATCCGTCACAATGGAAAAATCAATGGAGTTATCAATAAATATATTACAAACTTATGTATATTACACTAACTAATACTGGTTAAATTAATCTTAAAACTGGCCTGTGTCAGATAATTCTTCAAGTCTCCAAGTAGCTCTGGCCAAATTTACAGATACTGGAATTGTATTTTTTGAATGTTGTTTTTGTCTGGAATTTTATTAATTTTGGTTTATTTTATTCACATAACAAATACTTGGTTGTATAATGTATTGTGATACAAAATACCAATATAAATACTTTGATATGGTGTGTACGAATAGTCCCCTCACAGTAGAACAAAATATCAGATTCTATTCCTTATGATCCTGAAAAGGCTACCTTATTAGTTATTGATATGCAGGTCATTTGCCTTTTTCAAATGACCTAGGTCATTTCAGACTAAAATTCATAACAAAATTGGGTCATTTGAGTCATTTACTATCACTGATTTAAACAATACAAAACTTCAAATAATTTTTAATAAGATTTTTTTCGTAGTGATGTAGTCGATAAAATTATTTCAAACTTAAAGTCTATCATCCTAACTTGTCATAAGAAAGGAATTCCAGTTTTATGGACTCAGCATGGTCACATGGATGTTGAACTCGATGGAGGCGCCTTGGCACGATGGGTATTTAATTATCTTTTTTATATTTGTAAAAATAATAAAATAAAAAATAAATAAAATGAAAATAATAACAAATATATTTTTAAGTAGAAAGATAAAGATGAAATGATAATGCAAGGATCTGAAAAGTGGCAAATTTTAAAAAAAATAGATTCAATTGTTGCAGTAAATTTTGTTTGTTGGATTGAGACATGTAATATTCATTAACGTTTATGTTAATTTAGTAATCACCAACTTCAATTGGAACTCTTGACTTTATTATCAAAAGTAAAACTCACTATGATGCTTTTTATAAGACTGAACTTAATTCCTTTCTCATATCTCTCAGTATAAAAACACTCATAATTTCTGGTGTTAAAACAAACTTATGCTGTGAGACAACTTCCAGGAATGAGTACTTTCGTTAATATATGATGAAGTGGAAATGATGATGCTAATAATAATTTTATAGAAGCATTTGATGAGAATCATGATATTGTTTTTCTTGAGGATGCGACTGCTGTGGATACTAAAGAGATGCATGAGGTATGAAAGTTTTTTATAGAAGAAAAAATTTGTTTAAAAATCTCTAGAATAATTTCTTGCCCAGAAGGCAGCTTTATTGAACATAGGATATGGATGGGGCATAGTTACCACTGTTAATAATACTACTAAATAGCTTTCAACCTATGAAAAATAATATA